GCTCCTTACGAGGCACTTTACGGTCGCAAGTGTCGTTCCCCTCTCTATTGGGACGATGTTGGAGAGCGACGAATACTCGGTCCCAAGTTGATTGATAAGACAGCAGATCAAGTCGAGTTGATCCGGCAGAGACTCAAGACAGCGCAGAGTCGACAGAAATCTTCCACCGATCATCATCGACGAGACATTCAGTTCGAGGTTGGCGAGCCAGCCTTTCTCCGAGTTCGTCCGATTCGCGGAGTAGTGCGATTCGGAAAGAGAGGGAAGCTGCACCCTCGGTTCATCGGTCCGTTCGAGGTTCTCGAGCGAGTAGGCGAGGTCGCGTATCGATTAGCCCTACCTCCCGAGTTATCAGGCATTCATAATGTATTTCACGCATCGATGTTGCGTAAGTACGTTGCGACCCCGATCATGTTATTCCCCACTCAGATATTCAGGTTCAGCCAGATCTTTCGTACGAGGAGTGACCGGTAGCTGTATTAGACCGTCAGATTCGTAGGCTCCGGAAGCGAGATATTCCCCTCGTGCGTATTCAGTGGGATCTCCACGGAGCTACTTGGGAAGAGGAGTCCGATATTCGCGCTCGTTTTCCAGATTTCCAGTTTTGATGTACATATTTTCTTCTTCTATGTACATAGTTAATGTATTTTCAGTTATGTTCTGAATTTCCGAGGACGGAAATTTTGTAAGGAGGGAGGATTGTAATATCCCGTCAGTTTCAGTATAAATTATATTTTAGTTCTGATATTAATTTTCGGAATTAATTATTTTCAGTCAGTTCAGTCGAAATTACCGGAAATTAGTTTCGACGTACCGTTTACGTTCGGAATAATTTTGGTAATTAAGTATTATGTTTAATTTAATAATTAAACATAATTGAAGGATTAAGTATTAATTAGTCACAAGCTCATGTATATTAATCGTTCGATTTTTTTAAAAATTATCCTCTAATGCCGTGTGATTAAGTGATGTATATTAGTGAAAGTGGATCAAATAAGTGCCTAGCATTTAAGTGGGAAATTGTCCAAATTCTCCCTTCTTAGTGGGGCTTTTATCGTGTCCTAATGTGGCTAAGAGTGGTGCTTAGTCACCTAAACATTATTTACTAATGTTACAAGTGTCATTAGAAGAACAAATTTCCAAACCTTTGGTTTCGGCCATTGTAGTATATAATGGAGGAGTTGTATTTTTTTGATCCATTTTCTTCATCTTCCATAGTTCATCAAGCTCAAGCCGTAAGTTCACTTCCATAATTCAACCATCATATATATATATAGTTAAGTGAAATGTTGTGAGAATTTTGAGTGATTGCCGAGAGTACCGCAAGCACCGTTAATTATCGCCGAGCTATCGCACATCGCACGGTTAATCACACGCAAGTAGCAATCGTCGCACTCGTAGCAGTAGTTCTTCACGGCAGTCAGCACATCGCTCAGTGGTCAGGCGTACGCAAGCATCTACGAGTGTTATAGAAGTCCGTCGCGCGTATCGCAAGCCATCGCACGCTACGTCGCAAGTTACCGCACGACGTCGCACACACGCGGAGAGTCACGGCCGAGTACGGGAATTCGAAAAGATTAGTCATTTGGGCTTAATTAGAGGTAATTCCCGACGGTTGTTGACCGAGATTATCATGTTTATTA